GGGAACAGCACCTTCTTCCTGCCCAGCGCTCACTTACCAGAGCTGCTCCAGAAGGGAAACCACTGCACAAGAAAGGATGCTCCGTCCTGCGCCTCACTCAGCCGAGTTTGGGCCGAGTATTCTTGGGACTGCCGTTCTACTCAGTTTAAAAGAACAACAACAACAAAAAAAGAGCAAAAAGCTTCCCAGAAAAAAACCCAACCTTGACCTTTCTGGGATATCAAAGGTGAACAGCGAAGGCAGGAGGAAAACCTCCCCCTTGCACCAGGGTCCACTTACAGTCATGGGAGGGAAAAACTCGGAGCAGCACGTCCCCTCTCCCTCAAGGAGAGCTGAAAGAGCAAAGTTTCAGCTGGCAGCTGCAGCCCCACCAGCAGCGCTTACAGGGTGACCTCCAGTGGGATGAGGAAGACATGACAAATTTCACGTTACGTGAAGAGGAAACTTTATTTTAAATCCATCGCTGTGCATTATAAAGGAGCGGAAAGGGGCAAGAACAGGGTCCTTTGGAGCTTACCGTTACCACCACCCCAGGGCACTCGCGGAGCATTTCAGGCTGGTTACGACACGAGTCGACTCCTGCCGCTTCGGCAGCGAGAGGTGTAACTGTCAGCTCCACCGAGGTGAAAGGAGCACAGAAAGGCTGCGACGCGCGCACAATCGCAGACGGAGTTGCATCCCTGCAGTCCTACATTCAAGCCGCCCGACGGGCTCAGCAGATGGACTTTCGGGCACAGAAGAAGCCGCCGACGCAGCCCCGCGCCCCGCTGTCCGCTCACGTGAGCTCCGGCGACGCAGGCGGCAGCCGGGGGAATCCGTGTCGGGCCCCATCTCCCCTCCGTACCACAGCAAGAGCCACTTCCACCCGCCACACGAGCAGGCGCCTGGCACGCACGCTTGCTGCCTGGGCTGCTGCACCGCCCCGGGCAGCTGGAACCCCGCTCAGTGAGCAGCCATTCGCCGGGGCTCACTGACAAGCCACCACCGCTCCTCGCTCAAGCAGAGACGACTCCCGTCTTCCCTGAACCGCACGTTAAGGAGCACAGCCTGGCAGCCTTTGACAAAGGAACTTGTCAAAACACAGTTTCAGACAGCTACAATCACATCCATTTTGAAACAGTTAACTTCTCCTGCCCTCCCCTAACAACTCTGCAAGCCCCCTGTGTTCAGCAGCAGCTTTCCAGCTACAGCAGCTGGCTTGTTTCCGTAACTCCCCAAACTACACCCAAACACGGCGTCGGCATCTCAGGACTTGGCGCAGGACTCCCCAGGCCCTCCTCCAGCGGACCGAGGGTGCTTTCCCGTGCTGCCAGCTCCCCTGCCTCCACCCTGCTTCCTCTTCATTTGGCCCTGTGACTCCGCTTTAAGTGTCTTGATCCAGAAGGCATCAAAAGAACCCGGAGCCTGGTATCCCGGCTCCTGAGGATCGAGGGCGTCCTTGCTGAGTAGGACACATATGGCAGGAATGTTTCTCTTCACTGTCAAGGCATCGAGGCCTGCCTCAGGCACAATGGGTTCCCAGATCTCTTCGATCTGTTTAAAGAGCACTTTGGTGATCTGGTGCAGCTCTTTGAGCCTTCGTTTCATGATTTCCACACAGGTAATGGTCTTGCTGACAGCCTTGCCTGAGCCAGTGAAAAGCATCTGCCTCACCGAGTCCAGCTCCATCTTGCCGATGGCATAGCCCATCAGATTTCTGATTTTGCTCCCGTCCTTCACTTTCATTTCAATAATATCAGGGGGCAAGTCAGTGAAAGGAGGAGGACAAGGTTTCTCCACAATTTTGGTCTTCTTATAGTTCTCCATTCTGCAGTGCTGAAAAGGAAAACAGATCCATTAACACAAACTTCCACTGTAACTGCTGCACAAAGAAACTCTTGCCAAAATTAGCTACAACCTTTCCTCTAAAGGGCACTCTGAGCTATCAGAGTTGGGGATCCGGAAAAGGCGTATCCAAAAGATCAGCAAGAATGCCCTACTCATGCTGAGGAGCCACTTGTACCCAGTCTTCCTCAGCACGTACCTACAGCACAAACACTGCCACGGGGCAGCCTGGGCCCCGACAGGCAGGCAGTGAAAGGAACAGGGTTGGTGTTGTGGGCCTAAGGAGGATGAAGTAAAAAATACAGGCTGCATCTCAGGGAAAAACAGAGAACAAATGGGTGAGCTGAGGTTGCTGGGGACAGAAGACAGGTCAGAAGCAGCTGACCACTGCTGCACCCCATGAGACACCCCCAGAACGTGCACAGCTCACCTGCAGCAGCTCGGGTATGTTACAGAAACAGGCTCGTGGGGCTCTGAGCCCCATGACGGCCAGCCTAGGTGAAAGGCCAGGGACTGGATACTTGATAGAACAGTGCAGGTCACAGGGGAGATGGCAAGCCAGGGGCTGCAGGCAGGAGACATAGGGCCAGCAAGAAGCAGGACAACAGAAAGGCACATGATGAACAAAAAAACGGTTCTCTGAGGGAAAGTGAAAGACAGAAAGATCCAGTCTCACAGCTCCCCTCTCTGCCAAGGCAGGGTCCCTCTACCGGCATCTGCACCGAGGCCTGCCTAATCTTTGTAGGGCACCCCCCTCCCCACCACAGAAAGCCCAAGGTGGCCAAGCATGCAGCGCTAAGGCTTTGTTATCTGTTGGCTCGTGAGCCCCGTTTCACCCAGAGCCAGCACCTCCTGCCCCAT